AATTATGAAAAATGTTGCTCTAAGCTGTAATTTCTTTAAATCACATTTATGAATCCAATAAGCATTTTTTTTAAAATCACATACTTAAAGAGGAAAATGATAATTTCCTGACAAAACATTAGAATTTGTTATTCAAACCTCAAAATAGAAATGTTTACAAAGTTTGAAACATTGTGAATGCTGTACACACATCAAAAAATAGCAGGAATCATTATTGCTTAGGGGCAGGAGAAAACTAGCAGGAATCATTATTGCTTAGGGCTGCAGTGAGATAAAAGGCAAGTGTGCAAGTGAAGCGCAGTGAGCAATGGGGGAGAGAGTAGTAGAGAAAGATATTAAAGAGGTAGATGTGTCAGATCACATAGGGCCTGATAGCCTATTTTAAGTAGTTGGTTTTTTTACGCTGAGTGAAATAGACCCATAGTAGAGATTCGAAGAGCCATGTGACATGATGTTCATGCTTTAAATGGACAATTTTTTGTGTGTGTTGAGAATACTACAGAGGGGCATGGATGGAAGTGGGGTGACCAATTAGAAATTGTGGTAGTCCTAACAGTCCTACCATTACTTCAATGTCCAAGTGAGACTTCAACCAGTGTTGTGCCAATGCAAGTGGTAAGAAATGGTCAGCTATTTCAAGTACCTTACTTTGAAGGGAGAGCTAGTAGGACTTCCTAAGGAACTCAACACGGATTATCAGAGAGAGAAAATAGGGAAGGACAAATCCATAGTTTTTTCCCAAGCCAGTAGATGGATGGAGATAATGCAGCTGAAATGAGGAAGACTTTTGGAGGAGCAAGTTTGGAAGATAATATCAGCAGTTCAGTTAGGCATACATTATTTTGAGAGATCTATTAAACATCCAAGGAAAGGTGTTATTTACAAAGTTAAACATATGAGTCCAGAGTTCAGATGTGAGGACTAAACTGAAGATAAATTTGAGAAGTGTGAGCATAAAAATGTAATTTAAAGCTATAGGACTGGTTGCGATCAACAAAGATAGTATAGATAGAGAAAAGATGATGTCTAAGAATTGATTCCTGGGCCTCTCCAACGTTTACAGGGTTGAGAACAGTAAAGAAGATTGTAAAGGAACAGCCTTCGAAGTGGGAAGAAAACTGAATAAATGTTGAAAAGACAAAGAAAAAAAAGTATTTCAAATTCAAGAAAATGATCAACTGTATCAAATGATGCTGATAGGTCGATTAAGATGAGAACTGAAAATTGACCAAAGCAAGCATGAAGAGCTTTGGTGACACCAGGCAGATCAGTTTTAATGGAAAAGTAGGATGGAAGCCTGGTTGGAATGAACTTAGGAGAGAAAGTGAGAGGAGAGCAACCGGAAATAGTGCATAGAAATAAACTTATTGTGAGGTGCTTTTTTTTTTTTTTTGAGACAGAGCCTCAAGCTGTCCCCCTGGGTAGAGTGCCATGGCATTACAGCTCACAGCACCCTCAAACTCCTGGGCTCAAGCGAGTCTCCTGCCTCTGCCTCCCAAGTAGCTGGGACCACAGACGTCTGCCACAACGCCCGGCTATTTTTTGGTTGCAGCCGTCATTGTTGTTTGGCGGGTCCGGGCTGGGGATTCGAACCTGCCACCTTAGGTGTACGTGGCTGGCGCCTTAGCCGGTTGAGCTATAGGCACCGAGCCAAGGTGCTTTGCTTTAAAGAAGAGGAAATAAACAGAGTGGTAGTTACATGTAGCAATAGAGATAGGGTCAGGACAATCTTTTTGTAAGATGGGACAGCATGTTTGTATACTCCTGAGAATGCTAAAAGAAAGGAGAAAATTATTAGAGCAATGTCTGTGAGTAGGTAAAAAAAAGAATATGATTTTATATACCACATGAGGAAAGATAGGAACATGAAATTTTAATCCATGGTGACAGGTTGCAAGACAGCCTATGTGAGTGTAGATACTAAAATTTAGATAGATGCAGTGGTGGAAGTTCTCCCCTGATTTAATTTAACTCAGTAAATTAAACAGCATGATCATCAGCACAGGCTTCAATAGCAAAGTAAAGGTCTGAAATAGTCATCTGGAGCATAGTTGAGGGAATGGAGTTGGGACATATAAAATAATTATCTAAAAAAATAGAAGCCCATTTGAAGCTTCAGAAAAGGAACTTGTGTCAGAATCATTAATAGGAAAATAGTGGATTAGAATAGGCAAAACCTTGAAGAAAGTAAGACGATCGGGAAGGAGACTATTTTAGTAGCCATAAAGAAAAACGAGAGAAGAATATTGTCTAAACTAAGGCAAGAGCAACTGGAGGATAACTGAGGACAAAGATATAACAGTTACTCCAAAACCAGAACCAATGGGATTTGGCAAGCAATTAGAAGTGACTAAGAAAATGAATGGAGTAGAAGATGGTCTGGTAGCATTGTACTTAAGAAAACTGCACATAGCAATGGCACTGATGAACTCAGATAACTATTTCTAAACTGCAAAAAGTCATAACCAAATTGGTCAGCAACTTAAAGCTGTAAGGTTTTCTTGCTGAGTAAAGAGACAAAGATTTAAAAGATTAGAAAGATTAAAAGTGTTTATAATCACAAGGAATGCTTCTGATTTTGTTGTCATCATTGTTTTCGGTCTATTGGGGACCATAAACAGTATTCTGGTGAGGGGCATACTAAAAGCATTGACTTCAGCATTATACAAGGTATCCACGTAACAAAAACACTTGTAACCCCTTCTTATTTTTCCCCCTTAATATTTTTTAAAAAGCATATATGCCAGGCACTTTTTCTAGTAATGCCATTTCCTTTAATCCTAAAAATAATCATATTAGGTAGATCCTCTTATATCTTTGTACAGTTAACGAAAATAAAATCTAGAGAACTTACATAACCTTCACAAGGTGATGTGATTAATGGCAAAGACAGAGTTCTTAACCACTATACAATACATGCTCTATAAAATTAAGGGCCTTGGAAAGGTAGTATGTGTTGTTTAGCTTCCAAGGAAAATTTCAGAGTTAAAGATCTTGGAGGCAGAACTATTCCAAAGAATGACACAGTCCAAGGTGTAGTCTGAAGGAGCTCAGGAAATACCACCCCAAAATATGGTTCCTTGGTATAAAGAGCATTTTCAATTAAAGGCACTTGGAGATCAGTAGGCCTTTGGAAAGGGCTTTCCTCTACCTGCATAAACCAGAGGAACTCATGAAAAGAACAACTGACTTCCCTCCCTGTCCCTGTCATCTCAATATTTTGCAGGAAACAGGATAAAAAATGCAACCAGATTGGCCCAAATCATTTTCAATATAATACCTATCTCTCAGGTTAATTTAATTTGCAAAGAGAATCTTTACTAGTCAATCTGTTTCTCCCATCCAGTCATCTTCCAGAACAACCATTTGTTGCCCCTAAACAGAATAATGTGTATTCCTTTCACCCCTCCCTTCTAAAAGAAAGGTATAAAAATATTTGGATCCCATTGGGATAATGGGTAATCACTCTGAGATTCTTCTCATATGCTTGGTAAATAAATCTCTTCCTCTTAAGTGCCTTAATTGTGACTTGATCTTTCAGGAAACTTTTTGGGAAAAGGGGAAGTTTCCTCTCACCCACACAAGTCATACCTATAATTAGCTAAATATACAAATGCAGTTAGAGTTTAGGAAATCAGGAAACTAAGAGCAAAAATGTATTGAAGGGTTTATCAACAGAGTAGTTGAAGTCACCAAAATGGATAGCGAGGGAAAATGGCACAAGGACAGCCAGGTGCTATCATCATCAAGAAAGGTCAGCAGATTACAGACTTCACAAGGGAAAAGGTTGTTGAAAGATGCTTCAAAGAAGATGGCAGGGAACAGGAGAAAGGGTGTACCATAGAACTAGGAGAAAGAGTTGAAGGAAGTGAAAATGTTAAGACTTGTTTCAGGGGAAATGTTAAATGCCAGTAGTGGCTAGACAGAAGGAATAGTCAAAGCAAAGTTTAAAGATAAAGGGAATTTTTTTTTTGTTTTTTATTTTTTTTAATTTTTGCAGTTTTGGCCGGGGCCGGGTTTGAACCCACCACCTCCGGTATATGGGACGGGCGCCCCACTCCTTTGAGCCATACGCACCACCAGGAATGTTTATTTGTATACTTTTAACAACATTCAATGAATATATTTATTAAAGGCCTATTAACTCTTCTAGGTGCAGGAAAGAAATTATAAGGGGAGAGAGAGCGGTGGTAACAAGGTGTTCCATAATGGGCAGGGTAGAAGGATCTAGATTTCACTCTGACTCTTCACTCCTCTTATTTTGGTATAAGGGGAACTTTGAAACTCTTATAGACACTAACTACCGATAAATAGACATCCACAAAAAATTTATAGTGATAAGTGTGATAGAATTTTAAATGAATTGAATCATGACTCAGGATCTCCAATCCCTTCTCTGGTCAAACTAACCAATGATGTAATATAGTCTGATGGTTCATGTTTCCCTTCTCCTACCATAAACTACTACATACTTAAAAATATTATATTCATTACCTAAGAAATAACTTAAAGAAACATATTAGAAAATGTAAGATGTATGACTGTTGCTAATAGAAAAAAACCTGGATGAATTAATTTCTCTGTTCCTTCTACTGTTTCTTAGCCTCTGCTCTCCCAAATCTATTCATATAAACAACAAGAGGCTTTGTGCTGTTTTTAGCAAAGTGGACTTAGGCTTATTTTCCTTTATAAAAACAGGCACACAAATTAGTTAATTGAAAAATTGATTCGGTGTGCCAGAGACTAATAAACATTAGAGAACAAAGTTAAATAAAACTGCCCCTACTTTTAGGAGCTCATAGTGGAAAAGAGAGACAGGTAAGGATGTTTTAGCTTAAAAAACAGATACTTTGAGAAATAGTCTATTGTGCCAACAAGTTTCTGTTTTCTCCTTTATATGATATAAACACAGTCCACACAAACACATCTTCTTAAAAGCTAGGGCTATTCCAAGCACACACATTTTAAAATTATGATAAAATGAGGGGGGTCTAACTTACCATCATTTTTTCAAAGAGATCCAGTACTTCCTTCTCTGACAAATTCAAAGATCGTTCATCATATAATGGCTGAGCTGCGGGAAACTCACTCATCCCAACTTGAGAATCAATAGGATGTTGAATAAGAGGTTTTTCTTTTTTGACAGTAGATTTTCTAAAACTTGTAATTCGGTCACGCTGCAAACAACAACAAAAAAAGCACTAAGAAAAAGATCAAGAAGCACGAACATGAAGAATGGAAATATCAAAATGGCACTTAGTATAATATATATCATTATTGTCTTTTGACAAAATGTTATTTTAAGCAGCAAGCTCCAGTTAGAGATTGTACTATTTTGAAACCTTGCAGCAGCTCTTCAGCCCCAGAGGTCTAGGGTTGAAAAGTATTCCTCAAAAATACACCTTGGTCCCTTGTCATTTCTGTTTTGCACAGTAAGCAAATGAAAAAAAAAAAAAAAAAAAAAAAAAAAGTCCTGCTGGTTGTTGCTGGGAGAATGTGTCTTTGGTGGTAACTTTAGAACCATGAAAAAAAAGAGAAATAAAATAAAAAGAGCCACTGGCATCCAATTCTAAGGAAAAATTATGGTAATGTTTCCCTTCCTCAAACTGGCAAAAATTGTGATAAGTATCTATGAAAAAATTGTCAGTGTAGCAGTAGAATGGTTACGAACATGGACTTTGAAGCCAGACTACCTGGATTTGAATGCAGGCTCTGACATTTACTGAGTAACCCTGTGACTTGGTTCTCTCTCTGAGTGTTTCCTCATCTCTAAAATACAGATAATATTATTACCTACCCCAATGGTCCCCAACCTTTTTAGCACTAGGGACCAGTTTCATGGAAGACAATTTTTCCATGGACCAGGGCAGGGAGGGGAAGGGGATAGTTTGGGGATGATTCAAGTGCATTACATCTCCACTTCAAATATCAGCCATTAGATTGTCATAAGAAGCACGCGGCCTAGATTCCTCGCATGCACAGTTTCCACCTATGAGAATCTAATGCTGCCACTTATCTGACAGGAAGCAGAGCTCAGTCAATGATGTGAGTGATGGGGCAGCTGTCAACTCAGATGCCATAGAACAGTGCTGTGGACCACACACCTACGGCACAAGGTTATTGCAAGATTTAAATAAGTTGAAATGTTTATTGCCCTTAGCTGCTATTTATTATTACTGTTGTTGTTACTATTATTATTTTCCTCCAAGTTTTTCTCCCCTGAAATGTGGGGCCAATGAGGAAGCCAAACAAAAATAAAAACATTGCCATTTCCACTTACTGGAAATATAACAAATAGAAATGTCTTATTCCTACAAATACCATTAGGAAGAACTTGCCATTTTATGGATACTGACTTTGAACCATTGCATTGATTCCATGTACAATCTCTAATAATTAGCTTGCTCTTTCACATAAAATGAGTTAATGACTTCAGTTGCAGGTAAACAGACCATTCTATTTGAAACCATAAAACATTAAATACCAAAATCAGTCATGTACATAAAACTGAATGCAGCTCAGTTTTATTCTGGTTTCTGTTAGGAAGCACATGCATACCACAGCTCACGTTAAATAAGCAGACATATTAGATATGAGGACAGTGCATCTTCACCATCACGTTACCAGAGTCAGTATCAATTATTTCAACAATACAAAAAACATCACAGTAATTATTACCCCCGCATATGTAAAATTATGGTGACCCCCATTAAAAGAACATACCTTTCACTTTATTAATTCAAAGAACACTTTTTGTTAACCAAAAGGTGTACTTTGAAAGAAACAATGAACACTTTTAAGCAGCTTATTTAGGTTTACAAAATTGATTTGAATACATGGTTGCTTACAAAATATTATGTAAATCATAAATTTTTTTTTTGAGACATAATTTTACTATATCGCCCTCAGTAGTGTGCTGTGACGTCACAGCTCACAGCGACCTCAAACTCTTGGGCTTAAGCAATTCTCTTGCCTCTGCCTCCCAAGTAGCTGGGACTACAGGCACCTGCCACAACGCGCAGCTATTTTTTGTTGTTGTTGCAGTTGTCATTGTTTTAGGTGGTCAGGGCCAGGTTTGAACCTGCCAGCCTCAGTGTATGTGACCAGCGCCCTACTCACTGAGCTATGGGCACCACCTAATAATATTTTAGAGCTGATAAGAAACTTGAAAAATTATTTAGCTCAATTCCTTCATTTTGCAGAAAAAGTGACTTGCCTAAATATACAAGCCCCTGGTTCCTATTCCAGTCTTCGCATTAAGATTCATTTCTTCAAATTGTTTTGAACTATATTTTCAAATTTTCTTTTCACACTTTGAGGGAAATTAAGTTGATTGAGACACGTAATATGTCTTCAAACAACTCAAGAAAATAAATTAAGTAATCCCAAATAAGCTGAGTTTATATTCAACAGTCAAATTTCATTTAAAAAATGTGGTGGACATGAAAACATTTAAATATGCAATTGACCATCAAATCAAATATCTCTTTTCCTTTCTCTTGATATCACTTAATATTTACTTTCACAGTACTAGCTTAGTTCTTGAGTAGCATTACCTATGTATATATTTGATCTTCTACTACATTTTTAATTTTTATCTAGAAAATTGGCTTTTGATTTCAGCTATATCTTGGTAAGAAAATGACATTAAGCCACACACATATCTACTTACAAAACTAACACTATTTTACAGTATTTGTAGGTAGATAATGTCATAAAGAAAAAAAAAACTGACAATACTTTAAATACCTTTTTTTTCTTTAAGACAGTCTCACTATGTCGCCCTCGGTAGAGTGCTGTGGCATCATAGGTCACAGCAACCTCAAACTTTTGGGCTCAAGCAATTCTCCTGCCTCAGACTCCCAAGTAGCTGGGACTACAGGCACCTGCCACAACACCTGGGCTATTTCTTTTATTGTAGTTGTCATTGTTATTTACCAAGGCCTGGGTTCAAACCCACCAGCCTCAGTGTATGTGTCTGGCGCCCTAACCACTGAGTGGGCACCAAGCCTTAAATACCATGTTTAAAAGTTCAGCTATAAAAAGGCACTTTAAATTTTGAGCCCATAATTTTTAATAAGATATACTACAATAGACTCAACTTGAAAATATTTAAGGCTTTTAAATTTAATAGTACCTAACGTAATGAATTTGTTTCCTATTTGAAACTAATTTCCTCCAATGTTAATGTTTAATATAGTTATAATTTATTTGGATATCAAAAAAGGAAACATCTGTGTTTTCCAGAGTCTAGATTTATATAGAGATTTTTTTTTTAATTTAGTTGTGGTATATATCAGAATGATAGTATCAAAATTTTGTTAGGATCTCATACAACTGTTTGGGTTAATATTCAAAAAAGAAAAGCCAGTCTTTTCACAATTCCATTCTATTGTAAACATACAGACATTTTATATCTACATGCTTTAATGTCCACCCATTTTAATAAAAAGGCAACATGCATAAGTAATATAATAACATACTGCTAAGACCACCTTACCACATCATCTGCCAAAGTTTTTATTTGAATGTTCTATTAAAACCAAAAGGAAACAAACAAAAAGAAATACCAGTCAGATAAGAGAAACTCATTGATCAAACAAAAAAAATAATTAAATGATTCTCCTTTATCAACTTTAAATAGTAAAAAGAATTAGAAAGTTCAAACATATAAATAATATATACTTTACAAAAGAAAAAAAAAACCAACTTTCAAAGATTTAAAAATAAAGGTTTGGGGAGGAGAGTATCTATTTGTTTTTAAATATGGCTCTTAAGGTCCCGTAGTCAGATCTGAATTCAACATTGCTACCTGTGTTCAAATGTGAGAAAAGAGACAACAAAATCATCAGCCCTTGCAAGATTTTTGGATGTTTTGAAATGAACCATCATGTTTTTAGGATACTGAAATAGAACAACAATGTGCACAGTAAGAAAAATGTTACGTTTAACAGTGATGAAACATAATAAAACAGGTTCATCTAAGAACTCAGTGGTACATATGTTGGACATTTAAAGGACACCTTTATAAATATTTTAAATCAAATTGAACTTAGTGATTCTGTTAATACACACCTATTTTTCAAAAACTCTCAACACTTTTTTTTTTTGCATGTGGTTTTCTACTACTGAGAATCACTGGAAATGATGTTTGCTACTTAATAAAATACAGTGGTTAATAAAAACTACCACATAACACATATAGGCACGACTATTTGAAGAATTAGACGACAACATTATTAAAGTAATACCTAACAATTTAGTAATCTTCCATGATTCAGAAGATACTTCATGACTTTACAATAACATACAAATGCAGTTTTTATTATATTGTAAAATATGTTGAGATGCCAACAGGGGTTGTGATCAGGAAAGAAACAGACTTTTTAAAATTGTGTTAGGAATACAATTTAACTCTCCTATACATTTACTTCTTACAACAGAAGCTGAATAATGTTTATCAAGTTGATTATGCATGCTCATGTCCCTTTTTACTAAGAAATATATGGTCTTTTAACTGACAAGGAAACTTCCATTATGATTATTAAGTGAGAATTCCTTGGTCATAGGATCTCAGGGAATTATCCTTAAATACCACCAACCCACTGCTATTAAAGGTCATCCTCCCTAAATCAGCTGGGGCAAATACACTATTTTATATATATTCATTCTCTCTCTCTCTCTCTCTCTCTGTATGTGTATGTGTGTGTTGTGTGTGTGTGTAGAAAGAAAAAGAGAGAGAAACAGAGAGCTCTTTTTTTTTTTTAATCCGTTGATTCCCTTGGGGGTCTAAACTTCTAATCTCTGTACTATGTCTTCATCACATCCTGCTGACACAAACCCCAATCAATCATTACAGCCCAGGAAACAGGAGGTATTATTTATATCAGAATTGAAGCCATTTTAAGAAAGATGAATTCACCCTAAGACGCTCTCGACCAGGTATTTTCTCTCTAATTTTTCTCATGGGTTACAGAAAATTGTTTTATGCACAATGACAAACCATGTAATTTCCTGTGATGCAAAATCAGAAAAGAAACGACAAAGTATCAAAAATGCCTAAACTAACCCTGCCACCACCTGTATGTGTGCCTGTCACACATCTACCAGGATTTTTGAGACAGATTATACAATTCCTTAAGCAACTACTACTTTCTACTACACCTGCCTTAAAATGTTGTTTAAGAATAAAATAAACAGGGCGGCGCCAGTGGCTCAAAGGAGTAGGGCACCGGCCCCATATACCGTGGTGGGTTCAAACCCGGCCCGGTCAAAAACTGCAAAAAAAAAAAAAAAGCATAAAATAAACAGGCCAGGTGCAGTGGCTCACTCTTGTAATTATAGCACTTTGGGAGGCTGAGGTGAGAGGATTACTTGAGGCCAGGAGTTCAAGACCAGTTCGAGCAAGAGAGAGACCCTGTCTCTATAAGAAAAATAGTAAAATTTAACTTCATGTGGTGGCATACATCTGTATTTCCAACTACTGGGAGGCTGAGGCGGGAGGATCACTTGGGCCCAGGAGTTTGGGGTTGCTGTGAGCCATGATGACACTGTCATATTCTAGCCTGGCAACAGAGCAAGACCTTGGTTTTATTTTTGACCAGGGGTCCACATTTGGTTTATAAACAACCAAAACTCTGAAGTCAAGAAGAGCCCTAGAAATAGAAATGTATCTAGTATTATGGATATTCCCAGTCAGAGGGAACAGTGGGGTCACAAATAGGGCATCATGGTTTACGCATTGTGAACAGGATTTCCACTTTCATTTTCTATGGCTATAGTCCCTGACCCCAGGCTGCAAACTATTACATGTCCATGGCCTGTTAGGAACTGGGGCACACAGCAGGAGGTGGGGGGGTGAGTAAGCAAAGCTCCATCTGTTTTTATGTCTTCTCCCCATTGCCGACATCACTGCCTGACCTGTTTGCCCTGTCAGATCCCCCCCCCCCAGAAAAATTGCCTTCACTGATATCACAAAAGTCGGAGACCATTGCTCCATAGTACAGGGATCATGACGAACGAAGTGGAAGGTGCCTACGGACAAATAATACAGGGCTTTGAATGCTGTATGTGTTAAGGATAGTAGTCTTTCTTCTATAGGTCTATAGGCATTGAGTTTGAACAGGAGTATGACAGTCATTCACGGTGTTTATTGAGCAATGTGTACAAAACTGCTCTAGGCATTAGGGGTACATTCCTAAACCAGACAGATAAGAATCCCTGTCCTGTGGAACTCACATTTTGAGTGGGAAAAATAGACCATGATAATAATAAATCATAGACTACGTTAGTTATGTGCTAAATTCTATTGAGAAAAGGGAAAGTGGAGCATGTTAAAGCAGGTCAGGAGTGCCAGGAATGTGTAGAGGAGGCAGATGTTTCCATTTCAAATAGAATGGGCAGAATAAGCTTCACTGAGCAGAATCTTGAAAGGCAGGATGAGGAAATAAACCACGTGGGCAATGGAAAAACGCCTTCCAGGGACAGGGGAGAGCTAGTGCTTGTGGCTTATTGCCTTACTGGAGAGCAACAGGGGTGTCAGCGTATCTGGAGCTGGATGAATGAAGAGAGTAGTAGGAGATGATGTCAGAGGGATATGGAGAGTATGCGGATCAGTAGGGCTGTGTAGGCCATCGTAACAACTTTGACTTGTACCAGGAGGGGAAACAGAGAGTCCTTGGAAAGTTTTGAGCCAGGAAGAGTCATGATATAACTTTGGTTGTGTGCTATGTTTAAAATTAACTGTAGGAGAGAAAAGATGGAAACAGGGAGAAAGGAGGTTACTACAGACATCTAGATGAGAGACAATGACAACTTGAACCACATCTCTGTGGACTGTAAAAGATTATCATGGGATCAGACAACTGCTTGACTATGGGAATGAAAAAGAGGGCAGAGACCAAGGTGACATGGAAGTCTTAAACCTAAACAACTGGAATGCAGGTAGAACCATTAACAAATATTACTCTCATGTATATAAAATGAAAGGCTTTGACCAGAGTATCTCAAATTCCATCCAGTTCTAGTAAGTCTCTAACGCCATACTATGTATTTTAATATAGATCAAAAGTATGTTAATACCTGAAAAGAGAGCAGTGAGGGGAAGAGAAGAAAATTCAAGTCTCTTTCTTGCAAAACCAGGTGGAAATATTACTAGCAATTCTTTTTTTCTTGTGTCTGTCTCCCATGATTAAACTGGCAACATGTACTCAGTTGAGATACAGATTTGAAGCATTTTAGAAATATGTATACATTAACATAGAGAATTTGACTAAATCAAGTCATATCTTCCCTTAATTTTCATTCTTGCTTTGGAGATATAGATGTGTTTTTAATCCGGAGTTAGTAGTAATACACAAACTTGGGAGGCTGAGGTGAAGGATCACTTGATCCCAGGAGTTTGAGGCTACAGTGAACTCTGATCATGCCACTGCACTCTAGGGTAAGTGACAGAGCAAGATCCTGTCTCAAAAACAAAAACAAAAATAAAAAAAGAATTTTTTTTGTTTCCTAACTGGCATCTTCAAGAGTAATAGAGTACCTCAAGGCACATAGAAAATTATACTCATATAAAAAATTATCCCAATTACTTGTGATAGAGAACCATAAACAAAAACACTGCTTCTGATTTCTTAATTTATAAATTTCATCCAACCTGAGTGTATATCCTATATAACAGTGCACATTTAATATAATATGGGTATTTTTCTCATACATTTCCCTTGTGTAAAAAAATCTGCTTTCCTAAATACCCTATTTTACAAATGTATCAACATTATTTAGAACTCTTCTTTGTAACAACTGCTCAAGAAAAAAGTCTATGGAAAAGGAATTTTTCTTTTTTTTGAGACAGGATCTCGCTCTGTCACCCAGGCTGGAGTGTGCAATGGTATCACCACATCTCAAATTCCTGGGCTCAAGCAATCCTCCTGCCTCAACCTGAGTAGCTGAGAAGACCTGTTCCAGACACCACACTCCGCCACTTTTTCTATTTTTTGCAGAGATAGGGTCTCCCTTTTTCTCAGGCTGGTCTCGAACTCCTTGCTACACACAATCCTCCCCTTACCCTCCAAAGTGGTAGGATTTAAGGCATATGCCATTGTGCTCAGCCTTGAAAAGGAAAATCTTGAAGCAGGTATGAAGAGGCTGAGTTTCAGAAGAGGTGATTTTTAGCCACTATACATTAAAAATGCACTGAAATCATTGTATAGGCCAGGTGCAGTAGCTCACACTTGTAATCCCAGCACTCTGGGAGGCAGAGGTGGATGGACTGCTTGAGATCAGAAGTTCTAGACCAGCTAGAACTGAGCAAGAATGAGACCCTGTCTCTAAAAATAGCCAGCGTTGTGGTGGGTGCCTGTAGTTCCAGCTACAGGGACCCTCCCAGCTACTGGGGGAGGTTGAAGCAAGAGGATCACTTGAGCCCAAGTTTGAGGTTGCTGTGAACTATGATGCCACAGCACTCTACCAAGAGTGACTAAGTGAGACTCTGTCTCAAAAACAAAAAAAGAAATCATTGTATAAATGACAATT